GTTGAGGGTTCAGCCTCCTGATGAGTCGGTGAAACTCCGACGAAACAGTTTGTCACAGCCCCTCGTTTGTTGTCCTCTTCTCTCTCTCTGCCTACGGTTTTACCGGGCAGTTCTGTTTGTGACGATATATATATGTATATCTATATTTATAAGGAAGAAGATACAAAATTGAATTCATTTTTTCTTGTTTTTCTTTCTTTTTTCCTTTTTGTTCTTTTTGTTCGCATTTGCGCTCTGATACTCTTGTGACAATATATTTTCCCCAGAAAGGGTTACCGTTCACTGTTTTAGGCTAGGTTACCTGATCAGACGTCCGGGACCCCCCTGACCGTCCGGGGTTGTCCGATCGGACAACTGGGCGGACGTCCTCCCCGGGCAGTCTGTCCGAGCCCCCAAAAAAAAAAAGAAAAAAAAAAAAGTCCTCAGAAAAATCTGAAAAAAAAGTATGTTATACAGAAAGATAAACTGAACAAGTTTCGCCTTGGAATCATATCCAAATTCGCTGCTAATTTTAAAATAAAAAATAAAATAAAATAAAAACCCTTTTTTTTTACTTTTTTTGTGTTTTTAATTGCTAAAAATGGAGTTGTCCGGGACCCCCCTGACTGTCCGGCCAGGACGTCCTGCCATCGGACAACTGGTAGCCTAGGTTTTAGGGCAATTCCCCCCCCAAAAAAGAAGTAAAAAAAACTGTTTTGGGGGCACACAAAAAATGGGAGTAATCTGGATTACCTGCTGGGATGCCTGGGTTACCTCAGATTGGCCCGGGTGGCCCACCAGGGCCAGGTCCGGGCAAGGTCCCGGTCAAGGTCCCCAGTGCAAAAAAAAACGAAAAAGAAGAAAAAAAAAATCTGAAAAAAAACTATGTCATGCAGAATTAGAATTAAAACAACTTTTGGCTGAGGGTCAACCCGAAATTCGTTATGAAATCTGAAAAAATAATAATAATAAAAAATAATAATAATTATATCATACCCCCCCCTATAAGCCCCTTTAAACCCCTTCGACCCGCGCTTGTGCCCCATAGTGCCCCATAGACACCCTGGTGCATCCGGCGCAGAAAGCGTCCAAATGCATGTAGAGTCTTGTGCAGTGGAGCAAGGCCCTTAAAACCACCAGTACTTGGCCGATACATACATCGGTCATGGGCCCTCGATGTTAACGCTCCAGGTTAACCGTGCTTCGGGGCTACCAGACCACAATGGCTGGCTGGCAGTGCCAGGCCAAAAAAAGACAAAAAATGCGGCTCTGGCGGTTCGACAAAGCTTGGCGCGCAGGGCGTCTGGTGAGCCCCGGTAAAAAGGAGAGTGCCCGGAAGTTGTGGGTAGTTTTTTAATATCTCGACGCAATTGTGGTAGTTAGAGGGGACCCAAGGCAGTCCTCCTATCTCCGGTCTTATTCAGAAGGTCAGATGATCAAATCTTCCAACCGCCCATGTAGGTACTAGGTGGTGCCACTTTCCTATATGCACTGAGAGAGCAGAAAATCAGGATTACAGTGCACATCATTACACGCAGTCGTACACATTATGCCATGAGACAAAGTGACTTTGACACGCCATGCACAAACACGACGTGAGTGCGGCCTACATGCCATGTAGGTGGTGCTGACGCTACGCTCACAGAAGGGTGCCTCAACCACCGTCTTCACCCATAATAGAACTCTGCCCAGTCATTATCGCTGCATCTGGACTCAAAGTTGCCCCGAATTCAGCTTTATAATGACCGGACGTTCTATTTGGGACTTAACATGGTACTTTCGATGGGATACAAAGTCCCTCGGACTCTCTGGGAGGTGGTCATCTGCGGCATACTCAGTTCCACACGGGCCCAGCAGGGCCCAGCAGGGTCGGTAGGCTGGTTTTAGGCATGAGCAGGACCGGTACCAGTTAAAGGCCCTGTAGGCCTCATGTTGATTACAAGCCCTGGCGCGCGTTTCGGCGCCAGACCCTGATTTTGAGACTGCGCCGTTTCAGTAGGCGCTGGAGGCCCAGCCTCAGTTTGGGTCCCAGTGTATATGGAATTGTGGGCATAGTACCAGTGTGCCCAGTGATATGGGGGGACCCATACAATTGGGGTCAAAGTGCGAGTGTCTCCAGTGATATGGGTCCCGTAATAGGTACCCTAGTGATACGGGACCCATACAATTGGGGGCATGGTACCAGTCTCTTTGAGTGATATAGGACCCATACTGATATGGGACCCATACAATTAGGGGCGTAGTACCAGTGTCTCCAGTGATATCACTAAGGGGACCCATACGACTCAAAAAAATAATAAAAATATCGTCAATATTAAAAAATAATAAAGAATACCGTCAATATACGCAAAGCGTGGATGGCTCCCTAAGGAAACGCTGTACTTGAACCCAGAGGCCACAAATCACTACCCCAAAACAGAATACAAAGGGTGCAAAGAAGGGGTCTAAAAGGAGGGCTAATAATCCGCTATTTGCCACGAACGGATGAGACTTTAAAAAAGGGGCCTAAATCTTCCTTTTATGGAATTTTTTTTTTTTTTTTTTTTTTTTTTTTTTTTTTTTTTTT